ATCCAAACAGAAAAAGCCTATGTTTTAGTTCAGAGGTCATCATGGCTAAAAAACAAAAAAACAAAAAAACAAAAAAACCCTCTAATTAAGCTTTTTATCTATTCAGGCCTTCAGTGGATTAGATAAAGTCTGCCCACCATGAGGACAGCAGAGTCATTCACTAAGTCTACCAATGTAAATGTTACCTCAGACCAAAAATACCCTTACAGAAAGGTCTGTCCAGGGCCAGTGAGGTGGCTCAACTGGGAGACGCACTCCAGCTCAGCCTGGAGACTAGTGTGACTCCCCAGGGCCCATATGATAGGAGAAAGCCACCCTTGCAAATTGTCTTCTGTCCTCCACACTGTAGAGTGTACACACAAGTCTTTTCTAAATTGTCTTCTGTCCTCCACACTGCAGAGTGCACACACACGAGTCTTTTTCTCATGTGCACACACATGAGTCTTTCTCCCTTTTTCTAAATAAATAAATGGGATAAAATTTCTTTTTAAAGAAATGTTTGTCCAAATATATAAGCACCCTATGGCCCAGTGGCACACTCAAGATCACATACAAAATTAATCATGACTCATATTTGACATTGTTCAAGGTGTATTTGCCATATAGTTAAACTGAGATTGCTTTTCTGTGGAAAAAGAAATCTGAAAGACTTTTGTGTCTTTCTAATCCTCAAAAAAAGATCCCCTTAGTAAGTCTTTTAGGAATTACTGTTTTGTAAACATCTTGGCTTGCTGTTATGTGCTCTAGACTGGGCAAGCCTTTCTTCCAAATAGAGGAACGAGCAGACTGAATCATTTATTATGAGTCAGTTGAATTTTTGAGACTATTTTACTGTGCTGTTAAAATTTTAGCAAAAGCTAATTGTTTTCTTGCTCTAATTCTGTCATGGGTTTTTTGTTTTGGGAAAGTACATGAAAATATATTCCGCAATGAGACTGTACAATCCAGTGCGAAGTCCCACACTTTAGTATAGCTATTCTAACTGTATAGATGTTCATTGAGATATCAGATAGACTTTGGTTGGGCTAATTTTGGTGTGTGATGCTTTTTATTTGAAACTTTTTCTTGGTTTTGTTTTTTTCGAGACAGGATTTCTCTGTATAGCAGCTCTGGCTGACTTGGAACTCATTCTATAGACCAGGCTGGCCTCGAACTCACAGAGATCCTCCTGACTCTGCCTCCCAAGTGCTGGAATTAAAGGCATGCACCACTGCTGCTTGGCTGTATTTGAAACTTTTAAATGAAGTTTTAGTAAACAATTTAGCAAAAGATAATTAAAGAAACAAAAATTCTGTTAAGAGATGTTATATTAAGTGGCTCAGTTACAATAGAAACTTTTTAAAGATAATCTTCCATGACTAACCTATTCAATATCTCTTGATCATTCATAGGATTCATCTAGACACTCCCTGAAGTCAGCTCACAGCTAAGGCCTGTATGTGGAATCAGAGGTCTTGGACTGAAATATTGTAGGACAGGCTATTGACATTTGAAGATTTAGCTTTCTGGGTTGTTTTTGAGAACCTGTCTTAGTGGTCTAGGTGGACCTCCTCATTGTGTGGTTGAAGCTATCCTTGAACTCTGGGTCTCCCTCCCTGCCTGCACTTCCTGAGAGCTGGGATCACAGGTGTGCCCTAGCACATTGGGCCAGATAGGAGTTGTTTCTTTTTACTTTTTACTTATTTGACATAGGGTCTCACTAGGTATTCCTGGTTGTCCGGGAACTCCCCATGTAGATTAAACTGGCTTTGAACCCAAAGAGATCTGTAAAATCTACCTACCTCTGCCTCTTGAGTACTAGGATTCAAGTCATGTGCTGTCATGATTATGATTTTAATCAGTTAGCAATCCATCTTCAAAGTTCAGTAAGTAGAGGCAGAAACAGCTCAGTGGTCAGAAGGTACAGAATCAGCAACATTCAGTCGTCATCCTGTGATATGTAGTTTATTTGATGAATTTTCATCTTGTTGGATATTTTTATTTTGGGTAAAAAATAACCTCTTAAATACTATGTGTTTTTTTTTATAAGGTTAAAAAAATCCTACCTTTGTCTTCTCACAAATACTGCACATGTGCTAATTTTGTATTTTTTCCTTTTATAGGCTCAGATTATTCATCAGCATGGTTACCTGGTAATGAGTCATTGTGGCAGGCCACAATTGTTCCATCTAGCCATCGGAATAACCATATCAGGAGACACAGTATAACTTCTGACAGTGGGGACACTGGCATTGGCACTTCCTGTTCTGACAGTGTGGAAGGTAAGTTAATGGAGAGGAAGGTAAGATAGTGGAGAATGGTGTGAACTGAGATTATTCAGAAGATGATTCTAAAGATTATAAAGTAGTGTTTGTGTTGTTAGTACTCAGTGTTGCTACATATAAAATATTAAATTCTCTGTTTATATTACATTTTTCCCTGCAAAAAAAGATTTTTATTTTTATTTAGGTGTATTTTCAGAGCTGCAGTAAAGTTGATTGAAGACGAAACTGTTTTTCCATAGATTCCCTGTCCCCACTCATGTACACTCTACCCTATTAATGCTGTCTGACCAGAGTAGTACATTCATCATTATGGATGAGCCTGTATTGCCACTTCTTGATGTCTTAGTCACTTTCTGTTGCTGTGATAAGACACCGTGACCAAGGCAGCTTCTGAGAGAGAGAGCTAATTTTGGGCTTACAGTTCCAGAGGGTGAGTGTCTGTGAAGAGGGGAAGAGGGAGTGGGTGGTAAATGGCTGGAGCAGTAGCTGAGAGTTCACATCTTGAGCCTTAAATAGGAGCCAGAAAGTGTACTGGAAAAGGCGTGAATCTTTCGAAACCCTCATTCCACTCCCAGTGACTCTTCTCCTGTAACAAACGCGTACCTCCTAATCCTTTCCAAACATTTCTACCAAGTATGAACCAAGCATACAAACCTGTGGGGCTGTTCTCACTTTAATGTGTCGAAATCCCAGGCTGACAAGACATCTTTACTGTTAGCTTGAGAGTATTGTATTACATAGGGCACTCTTCTGAGGGGGCAGATCTTTGAGGGCATTTTCAGTACAGTTTAACTGAGGAAGGAAGACCTGGGTCCTGGACTCAACAAACAAAAGAAAATGGAAGACAGGTGAGGACTGGCATTCCTCTTTTTCTGCTTTCTCATCTGCCCAGGATACCCTCCACAACCACAGCTGTGAGCCACGTATACCATGCCTTCTCTACTGTTATGCTTAGTTTTTTTTTTTTTTTTTTCCCCCTGAGACAGGGTTTCTCTGTAGCTTTGGAGCCTGTCCTGGAACTAGCTCTTGTAGACCAGGATGGCCTTGAATTTACTGAGATCCCCACCTGCCTCTGCCTCCTGAGTGCTGGTGTTATGGTTAGTTTTAAATGTCTACTTGTCTCAACTTAGAATCTCCTGTAAAGACAGTCTCAGTTGAGCTAATTGTCTTTATCAGGTTGGTGTATGGATATGTTTGTGAGGGACCAATTTGGTTGTTAATTGCTGTAGGAAGGCCTAGCTCACTGTGGGTGGAACCTCCCCCAGGCTGGGCCTTCAATTGTGAAAGAGTAAAGAGAGCTATCCGGGTGTAAGCATAGCCAAGCAATCAGGCAGCCTGAGAATATCTGTTTAACTCTGCTCTTGACTGTAGATGTGATATAACCAATTGTTTCAAGCTACTGCCTCACTGATTTCCCTCAATCATGGACTATAAGCCAAATGAGTGCTTTCTCCCCTGAAGTGTTTTCTTTTAGGCTATTTTTTTTATGGTAACAAAAAAGAAGGTAGGACACCTGCCATTTTGGTGTGATCCTTCCCAATGCATTCTTCCTGTCTTGTTTCTTGTCAGGCATTTGATCATGGCAATGAGAACAGTAACTAAGACACACCAAATCTATAGTTTAGATTAATGTTTGCTCAGAATTGTATGCCCTTGGAACTTGGAAGAATTTATAAAAACATGTTTGTGCTGTAATGTATCATTCAGAGTAGCTTTAGGGCCTTATGAACCTCCTGCCTACTTGTCTCTTCCTATGCGTAGCTTTGTGCTGAATTTATGAGTGTAAGAGCCTTGTTATGACTAAAAGATTTTATTTTTATATCAGGAATGACTATTGGATTTTATCAAATGGTTTATCTATGTGTACATTATCATGACTTTGTTAATATGGTGGCAGATTTTACTGCCTGATGTGTCAGGTTTTCATTATGCTACCAGAGAGCATACATCACTTGACTTCCCAATACCAGAAAACACCCTGTATCATCATGTACTTTTAAAAGTATTTATTGTTGAATTCTGTTTGCTTTTACTTTGTTAAGGATATGTGTATATGTGTGGATAAATGTTTTTCTTTCTTTTTCTCTATTTTTACTATCAGTCTTAATACTGCCTTTAAAAAATGAATTGGTTAGGTATTTCTATTTTCTGAAGGACATGGAAAACATGTATTTTGAAATTATTTTCTTGAGTCTGGAGCTATAGATTACTCTTGGTAATTTTTGAATTGTGCCATTTTCTCAATAGTTACAAAGTTAGTAAAATTTCTCACATTAGATGAGTTGTGATAATTTTTTTAGAGGAAATTGCCCCCTGGCTTATTTTGCATGTCAAGTGTGTATGTGTTTTAGCATTCTCTTAACGATCAGTTTGATATCTGTAGGTTTTATGGTGATAGTCCCTACTCTATTTATTTTTAAGTTTTAGTTTAGTTTGCCAATTTTACTGATCATAGAAAATAACCATATCTTTATTTTTCATTTCAGTGTCGATACTTTCTGATTTTTCTTAATTCCTTTCTGTATATGTTTGGTTTATTTTGTTAGTTTCTTATGCTAGGAAGTTAGATTTTGAGACTTTAAATGTTCCCTTCCTCTCTCCTTCCTTGCTCTCTCCTCCCTTCCTCCCTCCTCCCTTCCTCCCTCTCCCCTCCCTTCCCCCCTTTCTCTCTCTCTCTTTCTCTCCAGCACCACAACAAATAGATGAGAAATCAGCCTATTCAGAGCAAAGGTTTATTTCAGCTCACTGTTTGCGAAGCTGTTGTCCATGATCAAGTGCCTGTGCCCACTGGGCTTCTAGTGGGGGTCACAATGACAGATGACATGTGTAGAGCAAACTGTTCACCTCATGGCCAGGAACTGAAAGATAATTGAGGGAGACCGGGTCTTAGAAGCCTCCTGGAGGGCAGGCATAAAGCTGTCTCTTAGGAACATCCCCTTCCCCAAATTAAAGTTTCGACCGCTTTTCAGTAGTACCAAGCTGGGCATCTTGCACACCTTTACCCATGGGACTTTGTTATGTTTGAGATGCAAAGTACATTCTTTTTCTCTGGTCTCAAAAGTTATATGTATCTCACACTGTTAAAAATATTTAGTTAAACTGTAAAAAGAATCCCCTAGATTTTAACCGTTTTTCATTGCTCAAAGGTATAAATTCAAAGCTTTCTTCTGTAACCTATTTGTGAACCCTTAGAAAAAAACAAAAAATAAAGGTTCAGCGTCTATGATATAATGATATAAGAGGCACAAAGCAAATATTTCTATATCAAAAGGAGAATAGAGGAATGGGAAGAAAGAATTGGACCAGAACAAGACTGGAAGCCAGTGTGGCAAACCTTGAATCTTAAACTTCCATGTCTGGTCTTTAGGGCAGATATTAGGGTGTGGGCTTACAAGGCTAGAGTACCTGCAGACTTACAGCTATATTTATAGCCCGCATGGCCACTCTTGCTCTGACTTTGCACACTGCCTGCCGCTTCTGCAGCAGACTTTCTCCATTGCTCTCATCGATTGTCCTAAGATTTCCATCCTTCTAAGCCTTAGCGATTGCTTTTAGGGATTCTGTCTATACCACACACCCCATATACTGTTCTTTACTTCAGATTCTCGTGTCTGTTTGGCTAAAAACATCTAGTTGTATGCGCGCAGTGCCCAAGTACATAGCTACGTTGACATTTTTACACTTAAGCTGCGTCATCGGTTTTAAATTTGGACACTTAAAAAGAGTCAGGACAAAATGAATCTGATTTCTTGCTGTGGATAACAGAGTTGCCTATAATCTAGATCCCAGCCTTGTCCTCATTGCTACCTGAAACCTCCAAAACATAGGCTTTGCTGACACATTGTTGCCAGCATTCTGATTGGAGCCCTTTTCTATAATTGCTTATTAAACACTTTTATGACTTGAAGCTTTCTCTAACCTGATTGTTTTCCTGTGAGCTGAGCATGGTGGCACACACCTATAATCTCAGCACTCAGAGGTTGAAGCAGGAAAATTGCCATGAATTTGAGGTCAGCCTGGGCTATGCTAAGATCTTGTTTAAAAAAAAAAATCCAAGCAAATAAATAGATAAATGGAAACTGTTAACGTAGGATAGTGCCGTAGCCTTTCTAAGGTGTGGAACATGCAGCAGAGACAGAGGTAAGTACCTGCAGAGGAAAGCCACCTGTCTTTGTAGGTGACGGTTTCAGCTACTGTAACAAATACTGAAACTAATAGCTTCACCTCTATTAACACCTCTCGGGCTCATCGTTTTAATTAAAGCAGCACAGCATGGGAGGAGTGTGCAGAGCAGAGCTGGTCACCTCATTGCTGTGAAGTCTGGGAGTGGGTCGGAGGAGGAGGAAGGAGGGGAAGAGGAGCTGGAAAGGCAGGGCAAAGAGGACTCCATAGAGGACTCCATGTCCCCAGTAACACTTAAGTTTACAGAACCTCTCAATACTGTCCTCGGGGGATCAAGGCTCTAAAATATGAGAGTTGGACACTGGTGAGACTCCAAATGCTGATAGAGGCATTTGCCACTAAGCCCAACCTTAGTTCAGGCCTTGGAACACATATGGGGAAGAGAACCGACACCTGTAAGTTGTCCATTGACTTCTACACACTGAGGCATATACCCTTCCCTTAGACAAACAGCTAAAACTGTGATACTTGTGGGGACATTTAAGATCTCCCTCTCAGAAACTGCTTTACCTGTGTTCCACAGAGTTTGAAGTTTGTATTTTGATCTTTATTCAGCTGAGTGTATGTGCATGTGTAATAGTTTAAATTTTTATTATTTTACATGTGTGTTTTGACGGCACATATGTAAGTGTATCACATGCCCTTGAATTCAGAAGAGGGTGCCAGATCCCCTGCGACTGGAGTTAGAATGCTTATGAGCTGACATGTAATGGCTGCGAACTGAACCGTGGGTCAGCTGCAAGACCAACGTGCTCAGTATGTTTCATACTTTGTGACTTCCTCTGTGCCATAGGATTATGTAGAGCGTGTTGATTTATTTGCCTACTTTTTGCTACCTGACTTAATTAGATATTGTTCTTGCCATAGAAAGGAATGGGATACTGGTCCCTTACTTTCAATTGGATGCTCTCTTTTGATACTCAAAGGAGAGAGGGGAGCACTTTCTTTCTGCTGGTTGGATAGGTGTGGAATAAAATCTAGGTTTTCATGGGTAAGTTCACTGACCCTAGTGTGGATTGCTTCTTACCATCTGGAGGTGATGGATGTCCAGAGTCTCTATGAGGGTAGTTCTCCTCTGCCATTGTGTGTGTCCGTCCCCGCGTGTGTGTCCGTCCCCGCGTGTGTGTGCACTCAAGGGGCATTCATCCACACACGGATGGGGATGAGGCTCCTGTCTCCGTGTATGGCCTTCTTTGATGTCACTGTTGTAAGGCTCTTGGATGCTTTAATTACAACTTGGAAAGATTGGAAACTTAGGTTTCTCACTTGGCATTAGTTGGTAAGGGCATGGGTTAGACTACACTGTTTTCTGTGCTGTTGGTTAGTGAAAAGGGAGTTATCACGTAGACTGTCTCCTTGGTGTATTCTTCTTTGTTCTTGGGCTGATAGGAATGAGCTTTTATGCTTTTTTTTTTTTTTTTTTTTGGACAGTTCCTCTTTGTCATTTTAGAATTCTGGCTTTGCTGTTCCTAAGTCTTAGAGCTGTGAGAAAAAAAAAGAAAAATTAAAGAATGACCTATTTCCTTGTCCCCTGTTTCCAAGGTTCCTGGATGTTCTACCTTCTTTTGCTAAGCTTTCTTGTCTTGTGTTTGTTTTATGTGTAATATTCAGTGCTTTTAGTTGTATCTAGACAGCAGTATTGGGAAAGTATTTTTTCTCTCCTTTCGCTTTTTCTGGTAAATCATGTTTAAATATTACTAGCTCTCATAACTTGACTATCTGTCCATAGGATATTGATTTCATTGTCAGTTTGCATAAAAATATTTCTAACTTTAAACTTTGTAATACTTCTAAAGTTAGAAAATGAAAGATATACAGAGTAAAATTTTAAAATAAAATTGATTATATCGATAACACTTAAAGAGCTCCTACAAATATAGGTAATGCCTACAGGTTGGCATTGATATATAAAATTTTATATATTTAATACTTTAACACAGGTAAAAATATAAGAAATCTATTTAATGAATTGAAGATGATCAATAGCATTGAAAAGGTGATCAGATTTAGTCATAGTGAAATGAATGTCAGATAAGATGTTGATTCTCACCAATGAAACTGCCCCTCCTTTCTCTAAAATGCACAGTGATACCAGATCTGAGCAAAGTTGAAAACTGTTAGTCTTTAGAGAGGAAGGTTGGCAGTGATGACATCTGTATTGCTGTTGCTGTATTCTAGGCACAATAGTCATTGTTCTTCCCATCTTTCAGACAAAGAAAATGAGATGCAAAGCGGTTAGATAACTTACCCAAAAATAAGTGAGGCTGGGGATGTAGTAGTAAAGTACTTAGGGATTATATACATGGCCCTGAATTTGATCTTCAACACTAGGAAGCCAACCAAACTACCAACGAGAAAATCAAAAACAAAACAACCCACTAGAAAACAAATCGTAGGTAATATGTCCATATTCTCACTCAGCATAGGCTTGTGTAGGTGGAACCGTATACTATTTGCAAGAGTAGTTACTGTAAGTCGGGCAGTGGTGGGTGCACGCCTTTAATCCCAGCACTTGGGTGGCAGAGACAGGTGGATCTCTGTGAGTTCAAGGCCAACTTGGTCTACAAGCTAGTTCCAGGACAGCTAGGGCTGTTACACAGAGAAATCCTGTCTCAAAAAAAAAGAATAGTTACTATAACACTGAAAAGTATGAAAAAAAACTTTAGGAGTCTATACAAAAAGGAAAATGGTTAAGTATTTCTCTAAATACCCAGTTTCACTAATTATGTGTGTATGTACACACATATTCCTATGTATTTCTATACTTTACAGGAAGAAATTCAAGCAAGTTTTCAGGTGAAGATGACACATTAAGACACTTCTTTATTGCCCTGTGAAACTCTGCTAAAGCTTAGGTAAAAGAACAAAAAGCTATATGAAGATAATAACAAGAAAAGTTACATTAAAATTACAGGAACTATCAGATTAATAACTTCAGCAATTGTTAGCATCTGGGCGTGGTGGCCCATACCTTTAATGCCAGTACTTGGGAGGCAGAGGCTGGCAGACATCTGTGAGTTCGGGGCTATCCAGGGCTACATAGTGATTCCTTGTCCCCCCTCCCCCATTGTTAAAATTGTTAGCAGGCCCCAAGTAGCTAGACCCAAATTAGCATCACAAGAATTTAGATGACCCTAAGGGTCTGCAGGAGGGCATGAGTGTGTTGTTGCAGATTTGCTCGGCTTCTGTAGTGAACTCCTCATCTAGAGTCTGTTCACCTTTATCTCCTTGAAGATTTTGAGACAGTCTGAAACCAGGATGTTGGAAAACCCTTTCCTCTGAAGGCCTTAGGCAAAAGGCATGGCTTTTTCTGGCAACCCATTGCACCCTTTCCTGATATTTGTCTCCTTTTCATGTCCCCTTTGTCTTCAGAAAATTGTTTCTTTCTTTGCCTTATAAGGAAAATGATGTTTGAAAATACCAGTCAATGGTGTTTGCTCCTGCCTAATTCTATGTGACTGTTATCTTAATTTTGATTCTATCTGCAAGGTAATTTTCAAATGAACTCATATCATATTTACTGGTGTGTGTGTGTTAGAAAGAGAGAGAGAGAGAGAGAGAGAGAGAGAGAGAGAGAGAGAGAGATTTTAGTTTACTACTTAAGTATGATATGACACATTAACAGACACAGTTCTGTCTTTAATACTGCATACTGTTTGTGAGGTTAAATGGAAAGGCATAGAAAGTGCTGGAGAGTAGCCTGAACTAAACCGAATTTAAAAATGAATCTGGGGAGCTGTGCTCAAAGCTTTGAACAATGTTTTTGGTTATTTCCATGAACAAACTTTAAAAGTTATTAATAAACATAATAATGTGGCAAAGATAACGGATGGGGAATTTAAAAGTTGCAGACTGTATGCTCTGTTTTCTTAGGGTTGTTTTAAAGTTTTGCTTGAAGAAGCTTATTCTCTTCCTTGACCTTAGAGTTACTGTATAATTCCTGAGAAGTATTTGAGAAAATACTTACCTGATCTGGGGAAAAATTCTGTAGCTTTTGAAGTTTTGACTTAAAAGCTCAATAATTCTATAGTGAATCACTTAAGCTCAAAAGATTATTACATTAATGAGGAAACTCTAGAGCTCCCCACTGGGAGCCTTTTCTCAGTTTACCCAAGAAGACTTTAAAAATATCTCCTGTGTATCTGTTCTAGGACCTGTGGAGACTCGGTGCTGTCCTCTTTATGACAGTGACCAGCATCCTTCACTGAGAAGATTGTAGTTTCATAATTCCCCAAAGCTCTTGGATTTGTCTTCCTATTATATAATAATTTTTCTAAAGCTTTTTAAAGTTTTTTATTTTTATTCTGTGAATTAATTTGAAGCAAATTTGTATTAGTAGTAGCAAATCATATTTTTTCTCATCAAATAATCACATGGAACAAAAGCTTTTGTGATCTTTGAGGAACAAACAAATGGAATATTCTACAAAATATTTTAATAAGCTGTCTTCAGGCCTTTTGTTGATGTTATATCCATATAATACTATACCATGTTTTATAATTCAGACAGAAAACCTATACATTTTTGCAGTATAGCATAATTCATATAAACTGTGAAATACTAAGGCAAAATTCAGCCATCTTACTTTCGAGCAGTTTAGTATTGTGCCTAGAGTTTTCCAGGTGGTGGATCTGACATTGCCCACTTCTCCCTCCAAAGCCTTCCTTAATGCTGACATGCTTATTAGAAAGGGACCTTGGCAGGTGATGGGTCATAACTTGTGGCCTCATGTCAGGCAAGTGCAAATACACCTTGCGGGCAAAACTTGAGTGATGAATTAATTGAAGGAAGGGGAAAGAATTAGGACAGAGAGAGAGAGAGAGAGAGAGAGAGAGAGAGAGAGAGAGAGAGAGAGAGAGAGCACGCGAGAGCAGGGGGAGCGGGGGGGGGGGAGGGGAAGACCTTGCCTTTTCAGGAGAACAGCAGGAAAAGAGTGAGGATGGGGCAGAGCTTGTCTCTTAAAGGGACCTTTTGCACCTGTGTACAGACTATGTAGTGATTTAGCCTGGGCTGGCCAGGGTACTGACTGAGTGCATCCTGCCAGGTGACAGGGGCCAGCATAATGCCTGACTCCTAACAAGTGAGCTTGGAAGCATCAGAGCTGCAGTCACATCTAGGTGATGGGTGTTTTCATGAATTGAGCAGTAGAGTGCTTGTGGTATTTCTGAGGAGCCTTTCTACCAGGGCTGGTCATATTCTACTGGTGTAGAGTAGCTTATTCCAGGTAACTTTTTTGTATGCTAAGTTTTGAGAATTTCTCGTAAGAAACTTCTAGGAGTAACTTCTGTCCTTAAGATCATATTCTGGAAACACTATCTGTTGATTATATTCAAATTTATACTAGTAAATACACCTGTGAACCCAGCACTTGAGAGATAAAGGTAGGAGGATCAGAAGTTTAAGATCATTCTTGTTTACATAGCTACATCAGTGCTATCCTGGGCTCCATGAGACACTGTCTTAAACAGACAAAAGACATTAAAAAAAGTCATCTGATGAAGTGACTTTTATCACCAATTATTGATCTTTTATGCAATTGAAAAATCCCTGGCAACTGAAGGCAAATAGGAAAGTAGCACATTCTTAGCCCCCAGACAGCAGCCAAGCCTGGTGATTATTGATAAATTTTGAATCCCCAGTTATTGAATATCTGCTGCCACTGATGTAATAAGCCAATCAAACCCTCTTAGGAGGGTGGGAGAGATATTACGTGACAAGTATGGCTACCAGGTCTTAAGTAGCCTATAGGTATGATCTTTAGCAGCCCCAAGAAGGGGCTAACTTTTGGCAGACTTTCTCAGGGGCAGAGTTTGAAGAGGGCTACTCCAGGATAGGGGCTGTTGCTTGGCATACTGAGGGTAGGGTTTGGGAGAAGTGAGACCTGAGTGTGGAATGGGACCTCAAACAAGAGATTAATATGAGTATGTTTACAAAAAACTTTCATCCTTTCATACACTTAATAATTTAAGTATATATAGACAGTCATGTTTGACAAATAGCAGGTGACTGTAATATTTCACTGTCACCAAAGCAGGTCATCCAGACCAAAAATAGAGGAGCATTGTAGTTGTATGAATACCAGATACAGTAGGATACAATGAAGGCAGTGCTAAGTGGGAAATTTGTAGCTCTGAGTGCCTGCACTCCAAAATCAGAGAGCTCAAAAAAGTAACTTAAAGATGTAGCTTAAAGCCTTGGAAATACAAAACCAAAAGCAGAATAGGGAAAGAAGTATAGAAATTAATGAGATAGACTAAAAATATTAAAAAGAATCTATTAATTGACCAGCTCCTAGCGAAATTAACCACAAGAATACAAAGCCTATATGCAAACCTCCCATAACATGGTAAATAGCTAAAACTTGAAGCATTACCACTAAGATTAGGGCAAGACAGGAGTGCTCACTCTACTCACTCTTTCTCAGTGTCGTGCTTGGGCAACAAGACAAGCAAAGGAAATTAAAGGGGTACAGACAGGAAAGGACCATATATGTCTCTATACATACAAAAGCTTAAAATTCAGGAAAAGTAGAGCTGAGAACCCACCCAGTGAACTAGCAAGATACAAAATTAACATACCCAATGAATACCCTTTCTGTTTATCAGTGATAAACATATCAAGAAATCAGGAAAACAGTCTTATTCACAGTAGCCTTAGAACCATCTAATCAATCAATCCCCAAATCTTGGAGTAAACCTACCCAAGGAAGTGGAGACCTCTCCATCAGATGAATGGAGAGTGAAAATGTGCACATACATGACAGGATTTTATGCAACTGTAGAGAAAGGTAAATGGTGCAATTTGCAGGAAAATGGGTGGAGCTGAAAAGTATATTAGATGAAGTAACGAAAGTAATAAAGAGAAATAGTGCATATTCTGTCATATATATCTCAGCTACTAATTCACATACATGTGTACATCTGTCGGTCTGTCTGTCTGTAATTACATGAGAGTGTGTAGCATCCAGGAAGGTGACATTTACGAGGCAAGGAAAAGATGGGTGTGATATTAAGGGGATGGTAGTGGATAGTAGAATACATGCCATATGAAAATGGAAGGGAAAATGAATACTGGGGAAGGGGAAAGGTGTAATCAGAAGAACATGAAGATGGGGGAAGAAGAGGAGGTGATGATGTTAGGTCAACTACTGGGTTTATGCACAAGCAGAAAAAAAACCTGACAACAGATAATGGTACCCATGAAAACCATAAGCTCTTCAATAAGTCTTATTACTGGGGTGGGCTCAAATGGTTGATCTAGAAGGCTACTTAGGTCCCCAGAAAGATTATTTACTCGCTGTTGTTAACTTCTCCATGCTGACGAAACTGTTCCTAAAGAGACTTTGTGTGCTTTGCTCTGAGGATGTGGAGAAAGGAGCTGGAACGGGGGGCTGGAAGCCCCTTCCACTTAGCTCACTGCTGCTAGAGGGAGCTAGGCAGACTGTGGGGGAAAGGTGTCATCAAAGGCCCCTTTGTTACAGACCTCCAAGTGATATATTGTAGTTGGCTTTTATTACTTTTTGGGGGCCTGCCACCCAACTCCCAAATGAATACATGGAGACTTATTCTTTCTTATGAATTCCCAAAAATTAGCTTGACTCATTTCTAGCCTGCTTTTCTGAGTTAAATTATCCCATTTCTCTTTAACTTCACTTTGCCTCTGGGTTTTTACTTTTCTTTATTCTATAGAATATATCTTTCTCTCTTTCTTACTCTGTGGCTGGCTCTGTGGCAGGGTGACTGGCCCAGGCGTCCTCTCCTCTTTTTCCTTTTCTCACCTCTTCTTTTTCTCCTGAGCTTAGATTTCTCCTCCTATTTATTTGCTCTGCCTGGCAGGCCTGTCTATCCTCACCTGCCTAGTTATTGACTATTCAGTGCTTTTTTTTTTTTTTTTTTGCCAGTCAGGTGTTTTAGGCAGTCAAGGTAACACAGCTTTAGAGGTGCAACATCAAAGAATACAACACATCTTTGCATCATTACACAAATAGTTTATAGCATAAATGAATGTAGCACACCTTAAACTAATATTCCACAATACTACACTACTAGCTGGCCAGGCAAAATGTGCCCATGGGTCCAATAGTGGCAAGTAAGTAATGGGGGAACCACAGATTAGACCTTTCCCATTCCACATTTACTACCACCAACTTGGTCAAATGCCTTTGGCTAGGGAGCGTCATAGGCCCTAGAGAGGACGTTACTGCTATTTTCCTGCCAAGTGGACATGAGGTGTTCATCAAATTTCTAAGTGTTGTGTTTGTACCTACAGGAAAGTACTACTGTCAGCTTTGGTCAGAGAAGTTTCCCTTTGTTTGCAGTGGGTAGCAATAACTGCAGAGACATAGACCTGGTCAAATTGCTGTGAATCAGGATCTGCTGAATGCTCAGCCAATAATGGAAGTTCTAAATCACCCTCTTCAAGGCTCAGGGAATATTGTAGAAGATGGGTGGAAAGAATGTAAGAGCCAGAGAAAGGAGTGGAATGAATTGGAACACTCCTCGGAATGACATTCCCATTGTACTCTTGATCTCATAGCAATTGCAATTCCTAGTACAAGACCTGAGCAAAAATGGGCCTGCCAACATTGTGTCATGTGGGGATAGGATAGGGCAAAGACGAAGGACCCATGGACATCCCATGCCCTGTCCCTATAGGCAGATAATGGTAGCTAAGGGACGAGGTCTCATGAGACCCCACTACTTTCTGAGGATCTGTGGCCAGTTAGTGGTCCATTGGGGAGGGAGAAGCATTTTCTTCAGTGGGTAGCACTGGTGAGGAGTGTGTGCTCTGTAAATTCTCTCTCTCCCGGGACCCTGTAGCAACCCTAAGGAGACTGTGCTTATGAAGAGTAAACAAATACAGGCACAGCAGTAGAATGTAGATGGAAGTTTCTGTCCCGCCTGGTGCCACAGCTGTTCAGTCCCAAAGAAACACACAGAGGCTTATATTAATTATAAACTGATTGGCCTATTAGCTTAGGCTTTTTATTAACTAGATCTTACAACTTAAATTAACGCATAATTCTTATCTGTGTTTAGCCACGTGGCTTGGTACCTTTTATCAGTGCAGCATTTTCATCTTGCTTCCTCTGCATCTGAGTGGCGATTGCAGACTGAGCCTTTCCTCTTCCCAGAATTCTAGTCTGGTCACCTCGCCTATATTTTCTGCCTGGCTACTGGCCAATCAGCACTTTATTAAACCAATATAAGTAACAAATCTTTCCAGGGTACAAGACCATTATCCCACAGCGGTAGAAGATGACTATGGGGGGAATCCCTGGGAGCAGATGGGGAACAGAGGAGAGAAATGGATGGAGGGATGGTGTTTAAAAATATGTTGATTTATTTCTGATAACCTTAGAGGGATAACAGTTCTAGCAATTGCCTCATCTTGAGGAAACTGAGAAATAAATACCGGGAAGCCACATTCAGATTTTTACTTTGACATCTTGCATTTTACGTTATATCTTGTGTTTTTAACCTGTTAGTTGAAACTGACTTGGCAATCTTTTCTCATTCCAGATCACTCAACGTCAAGTGGCACACTATCTTTTAAACCTAGTCGATCATTGGTTACTCTTCCCACTGCCCATGTGATGCCATCTAACTCCAGTGCTTCAATTTCCAAACACAGGGAATCTCTAGCATCAGATGGCTCTAAATGGAGTACAAGCCTCATGCACACATTGGGAGACCACAGAAGACAGGAGCAGGACTCTTCACTAGACATGAAGGACTTCAGGCCACTACGGAAATGGTCATCTTTGTCCAAACTTACTGTCCCGGATAGCTGCAACCAGAGTGGCATTGTATACACAGACGAGTTGAGGAATGAGCTGCAAAAGACAGGGAAGGGCAAGACTTTCCCATCCCACGTAAGGACCTTTGGGCCTAGTTGCTTACATGACAGTATGGAGATGCTTAAGCTGGAAGACAAGGAAATAAGTAAAACGCGGTCATCAACTCTGGATTGCAAATATAAATTTGAGAGCTACAACAAAGAGGACATCAGAACCTCCTCCTCTGCTCTCAGGAGACAGACCTTAGACATGACTTACAGTGCCTTACCTGAGAGCAAGCCCATTGTGACAGGTTCAGAGGCTTTTGAGTCTCCAAAGTATTTAATGCTTGGCCAGCAGGCAGTAGGTGGAGTTCCCATTCAACCTTCTGTGAGGACTCAGATGTGGCTTACAGAACAGTTACGGACAAATCCATTGGAAGGCAGAACTACAGAGGATTCTTACAGCTTAGCTCCTTGGCAACAGCCACCAATAGAAGAGCTTCATCAAGGAAGTGAAACACCAATGCAGGTAAGGCTAAAAACCTAGTGTTTGCTTCCCTCCAGTGGATCTTTTGTTTACTGCAGTAAGTATATGACTGCCTACACCACACGTTCCTTTCTCCATCTCTCACAAGTTAATAAACATAAGTGCTATAAGTTTTATATACTGTGTTGATAAGAAAAACAAATTTACTTGAGATAAATTAACATAAGAACATTGTTCTTAAGTTGGCCTTGATTTTCTCATTTGTTAAGTATGCATAAAATAAAATGCTTTTTGTCTAAAGAAATGTGAAACAAAAACAGAAGCTGACATGATATAGCAGAAAACTGATTTGGAAAAATAAGTCTTCGGTTTTTTTCTGATTATATCATATTTAGGACCTGAATTTTTTCTTTTTCTTTATAAGTTATTTTTCTTTAACTTGCATACAAAATGTTGATTTTATTATGGGGTTTTCATACATTGTTTTTCTTGATTCTGTGCTTCCCCGGCCCTTAGCCCAGTACCCTCCTATTGGTTGCCTGCCTCTTCCCACGAGACCCTTTTTGCTCTCATGTCTCGTATATTTTACTACCCTCTATTTTATTCTTTCTCCATCTTAGCCCTTTGTAGTTTCATAGCGCCCTCACAGCTGTAAAACTGAGACCGAGGTTACAATATGAGAGAAAGCATGTGGTATTTGGCTTTCTGGATCTGGGGTACTTTGCTTAATGTAGTAATTTCAAGTTTCATTTATTTTTTGCAGATGTCATGGTTTCAATTTTCTTTATGGCCAAGTAAAATTGCATTGTCTATATATGTACCACATCTTCTTACCCATTCATGTATTGAAGGACTTGTAGGCTGAGCTCATTTCTAGCTGCTATGCTGTCAGTAAACAGAACTCAGTGCCTTGTGACCTGACAATTTATTTGGGCCTTAATTTCTTCTATAAAATGAGAAGGTGGAACCCAGTTATTTGTACCATTTTTGGTAATGGTTTCTTTGTATTTAAGTTTGTAAGTCAGCTGCAATTGTTAAAGGAATTGACCATCAAGATGTGTTGAATCAGTTTAAAGGAAACACTTTATGATAATACAGCATATAGAGAAACATTATGTATTAATCCCTTTTGAGTCTGTGGAATAACAGGCTAATGAGTAAATTTCTTGATTTGGAAAAAAGTGTTGATATGATGCACATGTGTACATATGAGAAAAAAACTCAGTTTTGAATCTTCCTAGAACACAGTAGAGGGAGAGAGAGCACAACTAATGGGAAGCATTCCTATATGCTTTAGAGCAGTGGTTCTCAACTCCTGGGACATGACTCCTTTGGGGGTTTGAACAACCCTTTCACAGGGGTAGCATAAGACCATCAGAAAACACGTATTTACATTATGATTCATGGCAGTAGCAAAATTACTTGCTATTTCATTGAGGTAGCAATGAAAATAATTTTAATGACTGGGGGTTACCACAATATGAGAAACTATATTATAGGGTCACAGCATTAGGAAGGTTGAGAACCACTGTGCTAAACCATCCAGAGACAGTAGGTAGTGTAATTCTGAAGAATTCTCCTTTGTGGTGAAGAAACACCATCTTCCTTCATTTGGTTTAGGATATAGAACTCTGTGCACTCTGTGCACCACTAGTCTTGACTCCTTCCTCTGTGTTTCATACCCCACCCGTAATACTCCAGACTGATTCTGTAGGATTGTGAGAAGGTCTTGACTGTGGTCAGGGGAGAATACATAATTTACAAGTGCCCCCTGCATTCCTTGTTTTCAAGTGGGATGTGGAGAATGTGGCCGTCTACACGCAGTGACCATTAGATTCTCTTATGCTCACAGTGGATCTGCTCCATGGTGGCTAAGTAGTGAATTCGGTTTCTTACGTTACATTTTTCATGTTCCCTGGTCTACAGTTGTTTAAAAAGGAAGATGAAATTTTGTTTCTATATGAGCCATAAAGTGGTTTATTAGTCACGGTATTGACAACTAATATTTTTAACATATTGGTGGAGGCTTTCCTGTTGCTTAAATGAAGATTTTGATTAAATAACATAAAACTTTTTTCTTCAAAGTGAATTGTAAATATATTCTGGCTTCTAGCTTGGAAGGATTTTATTATGTTCTTTGAGATTTTTCTTATTTTCTCTATTTTTACATGCTGTTATGTTTTTGACTTTTTGACTGAGAGAAGCAACATACTGAGAGATGTGATTATGTCACAGTGCAGTGCTATCACATCTTGTGACACAACAGGTAGCAAGCATCTAATATTGGTATGGGTTTTAAAAATTGATTTTTCTTATTATATCTTTATGTGCATATAATTTAGCATGTAATTTCAAGACATTAAAATGGGTATTAGCATATAACCAAATCTTTTTTGTCTGTTTGACCATATTCTCACACCTTGTCAAAAAGACTCAAAAATAAGGCTAAACAATATCTGGTAGAAAATTCATTATTTTATGGAGGCCTCCCCCATCTTATGTTTGTGTTAGAAAATCTTGATTTTTTACGTTATTTGGGAAAAGTACGTCTCTCAGACCTTTACAACACAAAACTGTTTATAACTAGACCGTTTGATAGCCAGTAGTGTATAATTGATTTTAAATATCACCTAGGTCAAATATTCATTTGAGTATAGGTGGTTCTGATTACATTTTACAGATAAACTTTTTACCACTAAAAATGGAAAAGGCAATATTAGATGTTAAAAAATTAGTTCGTTTTTAGTATCCTGTAAAATTGTGAGAAGTATTTGAATGGTCATTATCTTCAAAGTTTTATTCCTTACAACTTACTGTATGTATGATGATTAAACAGAATAATCTCCCAGTTATAGAACGGGCTTTTTGTTCCTCATTTTAATGAGCTACAGTTTGTTTGTTTGACCTCCAACAAACCTCTATCTCCAAAATATTTACACTTTGATTCGTAACAGTAGCAAACGTACAGTTATGAAGTAGCAACAAAAATAATTTTAGGGTTGGGGATGACCACAATATGAGGAACTATATTTAAGGGTCACAGCATTAGGAAGGTTGAGAATCCTGGTTTAGATGATTATGTCATTCATGCTTGTTTGTGTGTGTGTGTGTGTGTGTGTGTGTGTGTGTGTGTGTGTGTGTGATGGGAATCTCCAGCCCTCGCTGAAGAGAACTCTGTTAACATGAACTCCTTTTGACAACTTTTTAACTTCTGAACCCAAACATCTCCTTTTCTACCACACATTCAATTTGAATCAGCATCCTGCTAGAAACCAAAATGAATATTGATGCTCTATATCCCTACAGTCTTTGTGGAAAGTGTGTCTTAATTACGTTTTCTCTTCCTTAGTAATTGCTGTATTGGTAGCACATTTTGAATTGGGATTAAAATTAGGAGATTACAAAGTAGAGGTCTAAATAGTTTTATATTTTGCCAATTATTACGTTTTGGTGACTGTTTTCCAACATAGTTTTCTGCTCCTATTCTTTTAGCACTTATTGAAAGAAAGATATTTAAAAATTTAAAAAGGGATATTGAAAACATATTCAATAAGATTTATAGTGTTGCTAGCTCTACTAAACTTAGTAAATCAAATGCTAATTCTCTGGGCAATAGAGGAGGACAGCTAAATCTTATTACAGATTATACAGAATAAAAGTTCACATTTAAGTATAATGGGGGAATTAGTGTTTGGAGAGAGAGGGTTCAGACTTTAAAATATTATAATGCTTGAAATAATACTTTTCTTGTTATTGGAAATCTGATTGGAATAGGAGAAATCCTGTAAAACCAAGGGTATCTTTATCAGTGTCAAATTCAGGTGAGATTCTACTTTATTAGTAATTATCACAGCCACATAGTAAGATATTCGTTCTTGTTGATCACAAACCCTGAAGAGAACAGATTTGTGGTTAACTTAATTGTAAATTCCACAGTCCTTGAGAAAAATTTATCATAAGGAATTTTATTTATATGAGAATTTGATTTTTTCTTATTTGATTCTCATAAGCTTAAAATATTAGTGTATAGATAAATGACAAGATCTTTATTTTAAGGTATTTATTCTGACAGAGTAATTATCAAGACTTCTGATAATAATATAATAATAACAGTAGTCATACATGTGAGGACCCAGTGAACTACTTTGAACACTTCATTTAAATTATTGTTTTTCTATTTTGTGAAGACCTGAAGAATACTTAGTTCCTGTATTAAAAAAAAGTGTTGGCAATGCAGTATAAATTTCATTTATCCCCAAGATTGAGCTATAAAGTGAGCTGCTTAGCAGTAAAGCTAGTGCTGGATGCAGAAAGTGAACTTTCGGCAGTGCTGTTTCTAAATGAAAACTCATACTTCATTGTCAGAAATAATCAGGAGAGAAATTTATGAGCCATTTTGAGGAAATTGGCAGCTTCATTATGCACACTTAGTCATTGTAAAGTTTGTTTACAAGATCCAGATGAATACATTGGCTAAGGGTTAGTTTTACCCCTCATCTTGACCTTCACAAAGACATTCTAGGCAGGGAGCAGGCTGTGTTTCCCCCCCATGAGGAGGTGCTAGGTTTGAAGCTGAGCTGGCATGTCACAGATCCGGAGGTGGCAGCCGCACTTCATAGAAGCATCACAATGATGCAGATCAGCAGGAGACAGATCAAGATGAGACAGAAATTGATAAAAAGATTCTGGAGATTTTGCCGTGCTTGCTGAGGCATTTCAATAGTTGAGGCTCTCCTGATAGCAGAGCGAGTGAGGTATTGGACTTTCTCCATGATGCTGGAAGGCAATAGCAGGAAGACTGAGCGTCTGAGTGGTCAAGAGAAAGATAATAAGCCGGTAGCAGGCAGGCAAATGTGAGCTGTCTTCTTTTAGGAGGCCTGGAATGTAAAAATAGTAAATGGATTAGGTTCATACCTAAACCCATTCTCTGGATAGAGTTGTGCAGTTTTGCATAAATTCATCTTCCTTGTCTCTGTGCTTTATAACATTAACTGTCTCCAGTCTTCATGATCTCTCTGCTTCAATATCTCGTATGTTGCTGCAGTCATCATTTTTCTTGTTTGAGCTATAGGAACTGTAGTTTTTGGCAGGTATTACTAGGTTTATGGAATATTGTTGCTTCTCTGTAAATACAATTGATGTGAATATTTATTATTATAAGTGTTTCAGGACTAATCTCATAAAACAGCATATAGTAAATTATATCTTAATTTTAGTCCAAAATAAAATAGTTCACTGAGAAAGAAGTTAAATATGAAATTGAAAACAGATGCAGCTGCTTGCCTCTCCTTTATGATTTATACTGTTAAAGAATCATGCAATGTATTTTGATCATATTCACATCCTCCTCCTGACTCCTCTTCCCAGATCCAACCCCTTGTAGAATGTTTTCAACTCTTGAACACAATGTTGCTGAGTTCTAAAGACTGCCAAGCTTGGAATGCACAGTATGATTATTGTACTAAACTACCATGGACAGTTCTAGCTTTCAGCTAGTCTTGCTTACCTGGAGTGGGTTTTTGTCTGGCCATCTTTCAAAGTTCCTAAACCATTGCAGAATATGTGGGGCCTAAAGCTTTGACAATTAATAAACACAACAAAATGAAGCTTATTAATAGGAAATTAGATACAGATTTAAAGTAAACTAAGTGAACTGTCTGAAGATATCAGCTACTTAAACTTTGACATTATTTTCTTTCATTAAACTATTATTTATTTATTGTTTAGAGATAGGGTGTTGCTATGCAATCCTAATTGGCCCAGAATTTACTACATAGCCAGTCTGACCTCGAACTGGAGGCCACCATTCTGCTTCTTTCTGTCTTTGCATACTAAGTGAAGGAATAACAGTACTGTACTACTATGCTGGGCTGATATTTTGGATTTTTTAATCAGAACATTTTTGATCTTGCAATAGCTTACTGTCTGTAGACAACTGTGTCTATTTTGTTGCTGCATCATTTGTAGCAGGATGTTAGTACAGATTCTAGCTGGCAGGTTCTAGCAGCCTAGGTTCCTCCCTAGGCTCTGTGCACTGCTTGAACTCACCTCAGCCTGTGGACCCCATACTTGAGACTAGTACTTAGGAGAGGAGAAAAGAGATTGGGAAAGGGGAAGATTTGCATCAGGCAGAGAACTTAGTGCTTATGTTGTAAAGAAACTGTGTGGTATATGCCAGTCAGATGCTGTAGTTCTCAGATCTTCAACTTGGCTCTGTTAGGATTTGAATTGTGTAATAGACTGGATTTTCATTTGGTTTTTCTCTTTCATGTGTATGCCTGTGATAAGGAGCCATGCAGAGTCAATTTATATCAAAATCTGTTGTCAAGAGTTAGTAACAGCTTATGTTTGTCTGGCATGTGTTCCCGACTGTCTAGCACAGGTGACCGAATTATCTATAGAATTTCACATGGAAAAGATGGGATCTCAAGCCTAGCATATTTAATTATTTTTATTTGAATTCTCCAGATAAAATGCTACAGGAATAAAGCAACTTTTTAAAGAAAATACATCCTTCAAGTAGTACATGCTTCTGTTAGTTTATTATAGGTCTCGGGAATTTGTAGTGTTGGAGAATCTGTATATTTTACAAGTTCTTTTATAGGAAGATGTATAATGAACTATAATTTTGAGAAAAATAAAAATTGGTATTGATAATTACTATATTTTTGTGATGTTTCAGTAGTTATTAAAAGATGTGGTTCATACCTATAATTCTAGCATGTGTGAGGCCACGCAGGATTGTAAATTTGAGAGCAGCCTAGGTACAAAGTAAAACTGTCACAACACACACATGTGCACATGCATGTACACACACACACAGACACACACACACACACACGAGAAAGGAGTGAGCCTTCCAGAAGTTCATCAAAAAGCATGTACAGGAGCCGTTATCTGTTCTGCCTGACACTTGGTGATTCAGTCACATGCTGTGCCCCTTGCTATAAACACTGTACTCTTTTTTATGATTGTGCCTTTTGTACATGTTCTGCTTCTACCTGGAAGGCCACATTTACCCCTTTTACCTTTCGATTCTCAGCTACGCAAAACGGATACTTCAAGCCCAGTTTAAACACTACTTCTGAATAAGACCTTTCCAGCCAGTAGGTAGAATCATCTGCTTTGCCAAGTTTCCATAGTATTTTGTGTCGCTAAATCAGGATATTTATCTGGCTATGCTATAATTTCTGTAAATGTGTCATTGTCCCCAACTAGAACTTCTAGTATATGAGTGAAAGAAGCATATGTTCATCTGTATAAAATTAGCATGATATCATTAAATCCATAAAGTTGAATACGAGTTTTATGACTAAAATTTTTAGAAAGTAGTTTAAAAATGCAGTGCTGTAATTGTCATATAATGAATTTGAGTCATAGAATTTGCTATTAAACTCATCATCACTAATATTTAAGTCTCTTCTATTTATAGATGAAGAAAATATGGCTTAGAGGAGGTATTTCCTAAGTTGATAGTTTCTTTTTTAATTTGACATTAAACTGAATTAGGCTTTGTACAAGTGGGTATTTGGTGTTTGTGAGATACAAAGAGATGTACTGTCAACTACTAAAAGCATTCAGGGGCTAGAGCGGTAGCTCAGTGGTGAGCACTAGCTGCCCTTCCACGGGGTGTGGTTTGCTCCCCAGCACTCAGGTTAGGTCGCTCTCAACCACCTATAATGTGGGCATGAAACATCCTCTCCTGGCTTCTGCAGGTACCTTCACACATGTGGCAGAAGTTCACATAGACACACATGTACACACAAATAAAAATAAATCTATAATGAAATAAAACATGATTGATACTCTTAGAGCATCATCTTACACCACTTTTTATTGAAGGTTTTGTTCAATAAATGAGAGAATTGTCTATAAAGAACACATAGTGACCAGATCAAAAACTAAATGTTTCTTGGCAAGCTTGAAAACTTGTCATAATTATAAAGTGATTTGTAGCAAGTTTATAGTCTTGGCTAAAATCGAAATGAGGAAATGTCCATGGTATGCATGTAAGTTCTTTGCTCAGTTTATTTTATAGTGCTTTGATAGGGTAATGATTAAGCTACATTCCTCCATGATGGGGCTTCCTCTTATATGTTGAGAATAGGAACGCTGAGAGTTAAGAACACTACAGACCTAATTTTGGATCTCTGTGTATCTCACTACAGATGTTGCAGTTTGTAACACAGGGGTCAGGTGTCTTTTCTGTTCCTCATGATCACTGCTCTGTAAGTTTGGAGATTCCATAGTCTCTTTTCAACTTTTCTATAGCAACACTTTAATAAACTAATACTTTATGGGCAATATAGAAAAAGAGTTCATTAATTGATGTTTTTAGAGCATCTTTTCGGATACTCAGAAATAGATTATGTTAGGATGTAAAATTAGCCTTCCATATTCTTTTTTAAAAGGCCATATATGTTTATTGGGTGTTTACTAGGGACAAGGAGCCTATTCACTTACAGACTTATTTAAAATTTAATCATCCTGCTTTTAGTACCAGAGTACTGAAAATAAGAAAGATGTGTGCTTGGTTGTGGGAACATCCAGATCATATCTTTGAGCCGTATGGAAGAAGCAGAAAAGTGCCCGGTGTTTTGTTGTGTGTATATGGGACCTGTTCTGATTTTTGGACAGATTGAATGTGATCACCAGTTCTTTTCTTAGTGGGAGCTAGTATGACATTCTTGCTTTCTCTAAAGAAGTTAAAATTGGAACTTAATAAATTATGTTCTAAAGAGTATTATTTTTCACTAGAAGGAGCAAAGGAAAACTGCAGGCAACCATGATCCTTTGTCATATTGCCAGTAGAGGTGGTGCATGCTTTAATTCCAGCGCTCCAGAGGGAAGAGGCAGAGGTCAGTGAGTGTGAGGCCAACCTGGCCAACCAGGGCTAGATTGTGAGACACTATCTCAAAAAAAAAAGTCATATGCTTTGTTAAGAACCTATTGGGTAGAAGTCATACATATCATATCTTATAGGAGTCTTTAACTTCAATGGTATGCTAGGTGTATTCTTGTGAGAAGGAAACCTCAATAGATTTGGAAATCATTTGGTGGCCTGTCTTACAACTTACAGGCAATTGACACATTCACAGCTTTGTATATGATGTTTAGTAACCCCCACTGTAAACACTTTGATGGCCTTGTAGAACTTGCAGAATTGTAGGGTTTCTGCCAACGTCACATCCTTGATAATCCTCAAGGTTTGTTTTGGGCTTTTGCTGTCTTCTTGTTTTTATCTACTTGTTTATTATGCATTTAAGAAACTACAGTCTGACAGACACATTTAGTATTTTTCTCATTTGATTAATTTAGGTGATTAGAATTCTGTATAGATTGAGTTTGAGTAAGCAGAGTTCATTATTGTTAAGATTATTTGGAGATGTATGTATGTATCTCTCCTCTCTCTCTCTCTCTCTCTCTCTCTCTCTCTCTCTCTCTCTCTCTCTCTCTCTGTGTGTGTGTGTGTGTGTGTGTGTGTGTGTGTGTGTGTGTATTTCCCCTTCAGGTACTTATTACCATCTCACTGATAAGCCAGAAGTGACTTGTTAAACTAAATTAGGGCAGTATTATCATTAGATTTATAATCAACCCGTTAGTTTATGAAAGTTGACTGTAGTAAAAGTTTAAGATTGCCAAATTGCAAACTGCTAAATTCTGTTGGAAGTTCCTTTGTGGCAGCAGCACTCCAGCTTTGTTGAGCAGACTGAAGTGTCAGTGAATCTTTCAGCTGCTTCTGCCTGGTTGTGCTAACAATTGGTCATAATAAAATGGCCTTTGATTTCTAAATTGGCCCAATAAAGAAATACCCACCCTGTTGGCCAGTCAGTGATGGCGCACACCTTTAATCCCAGCACTTGGGAAGCAGAGGTAG